CACATTTTACAATAAATAAAAGACATAAGACACGATAAATTTCATATCTCGCTCATCCAGAATTCAGTATATAAAGCAACGGTGTCGTTTTTGGGAGTATTCTTGAGGCGTATTCACCAATGGATATCTCCGAAGATTGTTTGTCGGTTTGTGAGATGAGAGCCCGAGGGAAGAAGTTCCTCTTGATTGAGCGCGTCCGGGTATTCCTTTTTCCAAAGCCATTCTTTGAACTCTGTTGATAGTTGAATTGCGTTTATGAAATTTTGCCTAGATTTCAGTCGTCTTGATGATTGGATAGTTGTTGTCTCTGATCATTGCTTTGTTTGTCCCGCTCTTCGGAGGAGGATCTTCTAACGTGAGGCGGAGCAATACCAGCCAATGAATACAATTGGTTCATTTTGGTAGGTTATCTTGCTGCAGGAATCTTGAACGGCCGTGTCTAATTTCTTTGTAGGAACAGATCGTCCCCAGGCGTTTCCGGCTGTGAGGCAACCAAGAGAACTGACAAACACGTATCACATGTCAATCAGTGAATGTATTCGCGCTGTTTTGCAGAAATTTTCCCAAAAAGTAATGATCATAGAAAAAGAATAGTAGCCATCACGTTGATAAACTTCTCCCGTCACTCGTTTGTTAAGCACTCGAGTCTAAAATAGCTTTTATCAAACTTATTGCATAAAGTGATCTTAAATGTTTAAGTTTTGATTTTATGTAAAAAAAGTTCGTCAATTGAACCCACCAGCCCTTGACGATTTACAAATTAAAATTTATGTAGAATATATTTCATTAGTCTGTGGATGGAGGAGTCATGACTCACTCCGCATACATTACATTTGTTTCACACACGTGTTCGCGTGTAACAAAAGGAGAGAGTGGACACTATATAGAGGAGAGTTCGTTCCCCGGAAATTCGAAACTGCGAAAAACGGCCGGGACGATGAAATCAGCGCGAACCATTCGATACGCTTTGTCGAAGAAAACAATAACGTTCGCGAGTGCACGGAGTGTAAATAATGCGGGAGCGAGCTATATGAACACGAACCAGTCATTTCATGCGCTTTTTTTTCTTTCTTCGTTTCGAGGAATATATATTGAGCGACACGGACGACAAGTATTTTGCCAAGTTTATCACACGCGTAACCTTACATGAGCCTGGCGAACGAAACTACCAGCGGAAATTCTTTGTTACTATACGGGATGATTCATTGCAGTGTTTGGGAGGTATGGGCGAGCAAAGAAAAAATTAAAATTGTATTTGTAATGCAACAAGTTTGAAGAGAACAACCGGAAAAATGTGGCACCCCAATAACAAAGGCTACATACAGAGTGTTTTAAAAACATACACCAACGTTCATTTGGTCATAAAAAAGGAGAAAATGTTTTCATAAAAGAAGTCCCAAAATGCTTAGTTTTCAGGAATGAGGTGTTTTCAGAGTTTTTTTCGATTATACTAATTATTTTTTGTCCCAATTTGGTGAAATTTGGCAACGTCATAATGGTAAAGGGCTAATTTTGCTTTAACTTGATTAAAATTGTAAAGTCCAATGCCGTCCCGGCAGATATCTTAACTGACTGACTTTTTTGCATTTTTATTGTTATTTGCTTTCAATAGACCACTACAAGTGCAACTTTTTTGACTCTTGATTTATTTTCGTTTCTTGCCCCGTTTTAGAGCCAAAAAAAAAGACATTTTTGCAAATTTTCTTCACAAAAATGTAATTTTATACACATTTATTTTTTGGACTCTTTGATAAAAATAAACTTAAACTAAAAAAAATTAATACTAAAGAAATGATGACAAGGACCACTATTACCTTCATTGCAGCTATATAGCATACCATGTATGAACTTTTTAACTTTATTTAGATAACGGAAGTACCGCCGAGCATTGCTGTATGTTTTTTGAAACATCATTTACGTAACAAACAATACATATGTGCTGCTCCTATTTTCGTTTCAAATTTTGCATAAAGCTCTCCAGTTAACACTATTACGTGACTGATGTAAAAATCTAGTTTTAGGTTAGGAAATGTTGCCTAAACTTGTTTAAAAGAGTAATAAAAAAAAAATCCGAAATTAAAGTGAGAACAATGTCTAGTTACTTTTAACGTACAGTCGAACTTCGATAAGTCGAACTGCGATTTGATACATGAAAATTTCGAGTTATCAAGACTTCAGTTATCAAGACTTCGAGTTATCAATAAAAACTACAAATGCATGTACTTTTTTGTGAATGATATTTATTCATTCATTTTTTAAAATGAATGATATTAGGGCGTTACATAAACGCCCTAATATCTATGATTTTTGAACAAAAAAAAGAAAATTATGAAATAGTAGTACACATGTATGTATGTATGTATTTACATAATATATGTACATACAAATGTATTGTATATGTACCCAGTATATATAAACATAGTATGTATGCACATATATACATACATATGTATGTACATATTAAAATTTACTCTTTCACTGGAAAAAAGTCAGTTATTTGTGACTGACGACCGGATTTCTTATTTTGGTTTTCAACAAAAGCTTCAATTTTATTTAAACAATTGTTGTGTTTTCATTGGTTTTCAAATAGGAACGCAAGAAAATCAACGAATTTTCAACCAATTCATTTGAAGGTGGTTGCTGAGAATCATGTTCCAATTTCTCCTCCATCGTGTCACTTTTGCAGTCATCTTCGATGTTTAACTGTACCGGTTCGGATCTGCAGGACTCGATAATATCTTCATCAGTAGGAAACTCTGAAGTAACAATATCCTCATCCACATGTATAAAATCGTTGATGGTGCTACCTTCTGCTATACCTCTAATGTTTGTCCAAGCTTTAAACTGGATTTCTATTTGGATTTCGTCTTAACTCTTTTCTTTCAGGCGTTCACTTAGGAAAATCAAGGGAATCTCATCTTCTTCTTCCCATTCAGAATACTGACCAAAACCGGCTTTTTTAAAACAATTGGTAATTGTTTCAGGCTTAACGTCGATATTCCATGCGGTAGTTACGTCGTCAACACAATCCATTAGTGTAATGTTATTGTTTTTGTTTTCTTCGAAACGTTCCATTGCGGTGATGACTGAATGTTTATTTTTCAAAATTGTAGACACTGTACTTGCCGAAATCCCATACTTAACAGCTACATCTTTATTTTTTGAGCCACTTTCTACTTCTTTTATAACCTTGAATTTTTGATTAACAGACAAAGCTTTTAACGTACGTTTTGATGACATATCAACAAATGCAAAAATGTCTTTAATATAATGTGTAAATTGAATAGGGACAGTATTTAGTATTAACTAGTAAGTCATACAAGTGAATTTAGGAAACACAGAAACTGAACTGCTTGCATAGATACGTTAAGAAGACAGGTTAACATCGGTCGTAATTAGAGGGTTCTCCGAGAAAATTCGACTTATCGAAGTTGGCACCAAATGTTTCGTTCGAGTTATCAAGATATTCGAGTAATCGAAGTTCGAGTAATCAAGACAAACTAACACGCATTTCCTACTTTTGACGCTATTGCCAACCAATTTGGTTCGACTTATCAAAAATTCGAGTTATCGAAGTTCGACTGTAGTTAAATGATATTTTCGTTTAGGTTTTTGTATCATACAAATTTTTGCTTGTTTCGTTTGACAATACAATAGCTTTGTAGTTGTGTTAGACATGCTTCTACACGGTTCATCACTTGTTAGTGAGTAGACTTGCTGTTTAATTTCAACTGCTTCATCTTACCAGAATGCTCATTTATGTTGAGCTCTACATCTGTTTTTTTTTTTTTTCAAAATTTAAGACCTATGGATTTTTATTACTCTTACCTTACTATGTGTCAATGAAAATTTGTGAATTATGTAGCATGTTTGCAGAATGGCTGCTTTCTGCATAAGAAATCTGAGACCTTTTCTTATTTGTTATTATTTATTATTATTATTATCATTAAATTTTCTCCCTTTTTTTAATTCATAAAATCATGCTTATGCTGTTTTGTTAGCGAAAATTGTGGTTTCGTAGTAATCAAATTGGCAATAAAAAATACAGACAGTACGTATCACAGACTTTGTTCGTCTTGGTTATTATAACATAATATTCATTTATTTTTAACGAAAAATGAAACTGTTGTGATATGACACTTTTGACAATTATTATTGTTAGTAGCGTATCGGAAATCGTAACTTCAAAATTTTAACATCTATTTCGATTTTATTCCCAGTTTTTCGAAATTCCTCCTTAAAATAATATATGTTCTTTTAATTTTGACATTTCTCTAAAATAACCGAGTTATAACTGTACAGGTGTGAATGGTATTCCGAGACGTGTGAATTAGTGAATGTTCACTGTGGAATTTTATCTATTCTCAATAATGGGAAGTAAATTAGAGTTTACTATGTGCGACCTATTAAAAAAATTCCTTACTTGGGAAATCCCATAAAAAATATCGTTAATTATTTTAACGACTTTTTGATGTGTCGCCAACTTTTTGCCGAGGCCTGCATTTAAACTGTATAATACAATAAACAAAAATTGATAACTTGTAAAAAGATTAATTTTGATAAAGCGCTTTATATTGTATCATTTTTCATTACAGGGTGGTAAATTAGATACAGCACACTTTTTTACCAACAACCAACTAAAGTCTACGTAGGATTAAAAGTAAAAAGCAAAGTTGGTAATTTATCATATCTTTTTTACCAGTTTTTAATATGCATTTTTTTTTAATTTTATTACTTTCACTACTTCTAATGTTTTTTATTTCTAACGGCACCAGGAAATCTATCTTCAACTAAAGTGTGACATATTCCTTACATCGAAATAGCGTTTTTGTGATCGATGTCAGTGAATAATCCCAAACATCAATCCATTACCCAGCATTTATAGCCCGTAACGTTTTGAGTCATGGTTTATTTCGATATGGTATTAATAAGTTTTGACGTTTTATCAATTTGTTATTTTATAAATGGCGTAGTAACGTTTTTATTTTTTTTGTTTTCAGAGAGGACGGTCAGACGTTCGGAACATATCTCGTATTTCCTGCGGTCCATGAACAAGACTACGGAACGTACACTTGCGTCATCACTAAACCAGGGAACACTATTCAAAAGCGAGTGTCCGTCACAGAAAAAGGTTAGCGGGTCAATTTTAGTAGCTTTAAGCGAACAAAATAATAATAAAATTAAACATAAAAACAGCACATGTATATACATTGGCAGCTGCCAAAATATGACATAATTCAGACACTTTTTGAAGATAAGTGAAATAGCGTGTCAAAGCCAGTGACAAATAAATTATGGTCTACTTATAAAATAAGACCTAACCTTACGTAGGGATGTTGCGATACCATTAAAGTATCGATACCTACTCATTTCGATAGTACTGAAATCTTTTTTCGATACTACTCAAATAAATACTCCCAAAGCATCGATACTTACTCATATCGATACTTTCAGCACTTTAATTTTTTTTAATTTATTTTAATAAACGTTAAAGGACAGTAATTAAAACAAAATTAAAAAGGAAAAGAAAACTTTTATTATAAAGCACGTACTTTAAACAAAAAACTCCATGATAACATTGGAATAATAAGCCGATGATTACAATAAAGAAAATTATTTGTAAGCATTCTCTTGTATGTTTGACAATTTATGTTGGTTGACAATGAAAAAAAATGAAGGGCGGACGTCTTTCTCGCTTTTGTCTCGAGCTCGGTCGAGTGAAGTCAGATGAGTTCGGCTTGGCTGGCGCGAGACAACGCGTCACCATAGATCTGATAGAGATTATGTTTGTCTGATGCGATCGGTTTTTTTTTTTTAATGGTGAGGCTGATTCGATTTGATACCAAGTACTTTTGTTTCGATACCGAGTAAGTATCGCAAGATTGATTCGATGTTATAAATACTTGGTATCGAATCAAAAGTATCGAGTACCTACTCTTATTTACTAGTATCGGAATATCCCTAACCTTACGAAGTGTGATAAAATTTTTTGAGCACTTGTGAGATATCACTGAACTAAAAATTTTACGCTGGTAATAAAAATCGAAAAATCCAATTATGGCGACCCTTAGATAAATGAAAGGTAAGGCGAGTTGCGAGATAAGAAAAGACGACTGAGGCATGTCATACGTGCTATTTTACTCGTCTTAAAAAAGTGTCAAAACAATGTCACATTTTGACAGCTGTCAATTTAACCGCTTTGGAATTACTATCGAAAAACGAAATCCGTGATTTTCGGTTTTTTGTTGATATTGCAAAAACCAAGTGACCGATGCTAAATCTGCAGACGGTCATCAACGCCACTAAGCCATCTGAAACTTTCCCCATTTAACTTTTGCTGTAGCTACAATGGGAGCAGCATTCCCTGTATAGAGAAACGAATCTAGGACACATTGTGTTACTTAATTTTTGTGAACTAAACAAAAATTTTACTCACAATCACATAAGTAACCAGTACTACTTGTTTCAGATAAGAAAAGAAAGAAAACGTGCTAAATATTTAAACAAACAAGAACATACAAACATATATGAGTAAAGTCCTATATAAAATAAGGCGAGAAATGACATTGCTCATCATTTCTGATTCACAAATTCAATCAAAGTAATAGTGTAAAATCAGATATGCCACTTTCATATTATAGATCGTCTGACGCATAATTTATGCGTTTAAAAAACACTCCTTTTTAGATGACATTTAAACTCCTGATGTGTATATCAGTTACAGTTATCAATTTAAAATAAACACCTAAAGTTACTGGAACATAAAAAAAAATGTTTGGTAGTAAAATAACTGACGAGATTTTATCTATGAAAAATTTTATTTTATTATTTAAAAATATACATGGTGTTTCTTAAATAATATGTTAATTTTCACGATTTCAATTTTTCAGTGATTTAAGGGCAAAAAGAGTGCCAAACTTTAAAGGATATATTTTTGAACATCAATTTGCCCCTGACTTTTTCATTTTTTTATTAAGCAGTGAGAAATATAAAAGACTTTTTGTTTTTCGTTTTTTTTAATAACTAGATTCCGTCTCCCAATAAAAAAACGAACAATGAAAAGGCCTTTCTAAAACCATACAAGACAAGAATAAAAATATAATGTTAACACTGGTGTAATGGAGCATGTCTGAGGCATTTTAAAGTGTTTTTCTTAGAACACGGTATATAATTTTAAAAGCAAGAGAACTCACAGTTAATTATCTCCGTTTTTATTTCAGTCAAAGTTGTGGAATATGTGGATCCAAATCCGCCGCCGATAAAGGAAATATTATTCTTTTCCGCCGCGTTGGCGCTGCTGTTGACCGCCGCGTTCATCCTGCATAGGCAATTCAGTTTGAAATTTCAAATTTGGCTGAAGGATTCGTTTGGACCCTCCGAGGAAAACGACGGCAACATCAACGACGTGCTTGTAGTCTTCGCTCCTAAAGATGCCGAACTAGCGCTAGGCGTACTGATACCGAATCTGGAAAGTCGATTCGGGTACAAGTGCCTTTACAAAGAGTTTTCAACCGATATTTCGAACTGTAAGTAAAAGTAAAACTTATCAATTATGAATCTGTACTAAATGCAATTCTGCTATTTCTGAGCTAATCACTAATTTTTACGCAGATGTCATTTTTACCCGATTTCATTTTGTATTCTAGAGCAATGTTGCCAAGTTTACTTTACACTAATAAACTGAATATTCTTTTATCTGACACATATGAGCTGTTATCCAAATATTTTAGTATCGGAAATCATACTTGACTAGTATTAGTTAATTGTTAATGATTTCACTAACAACGACTCTTAAGTTGTATCCTTTTTTTGTTCTGAAGCGGCCATAAGCTGGGGATTTTTCGATTCTTCGGCTTTCGATTTGTAGATGGCGCAATAAACAAGCGGCCGAGAAGTCTAGGTCTCTTTGATCTATGCTTCTACTGATTATCCTTATTAACTTTTAGTTTAATACTTTTAATAATTATTTACCAACTTTATCCAGATTTCTGGTATGCACAAAATTATAAAAGATGTTTTCATTTTAGGGTCTTTGGAATTAGCCAGGGATTCCGAATCGTCACGCCGTATAATATCAGTGATCTCACCAGCCGCGGTGAACGAAACTTGGGCTTCCTCCAACCTTTACCAAGCTCTGAAGCAGCTCCAAACAATAGGCCAGTCGAAACTGATTTGCGTAGCCCTCAAAGAATTGCCGGCCAGTAAAAACGAGACCAAAAATTCAGTTGGAGAAACATTATCGTCCCTGACCAGATCGATGAATTTAATTTTGTGGGAGAGATCCAAGGACAGCAAGTTTTGGTTGAATCTTAGGAAGCACCTGCCACCAAAGAGACGACTGGATAACGTAAGCACAGAACTCGTGCAGCAAACCGGTGATAATCAATCAAGACTGAATTCGAAACCCTCCGAATGTAGCTTAGACAGCCTGATGGTGTGAGCGAATGATTGCGATTGCTCTTTTGTATGTTTTTTATGCAACACGGGGACGCCGAGACATATTTTTGATAACCATGTTGTTGTGTAACATTTGTGATTCTATTTGGTAGTGATATCTATATATGTGTAATGTGAACCCATTTATGTTCTCTCTTTCATTTCCCGACGCCTTAGTATTAAATATCGTTTTCCCAGAAAGAAAATGGCAGACGTTTGTTTTTAATTTATTGTTTTATATTTATTCTATATGTTTTTTAAACAATTTTTATATATATTATTCGTACTTTAGGTGACATAGCTATTAAACTGCTGTGTTTTAACATAATATAAGTTTAATGTTTTTAAAAAGTTTATGAATTGTAAGCTCCTTGATATTCTGAGCAGTGAAAAAACTGCATTCCAAAGCTGTTTTCTTTGATGGATAAATGTTGTCATTTGTAAAATTGACGCCACTGAATCGCTGTACCAACTTGGTGTAAACATAGTCATAGCTCTAACAACGTTTTAATGGGAAACTTGTAATAAATTGCGTTTGAACAAGTTTCTTGTGCTTTTGAATTTCTAATCCCATTCTGAAGTCTACCTATTTAGTTTTGATTATTCCAATACAGACTTGAAGTAACCAACTTTTCGCCATCTTTCAAATTATGTATGAGAAATAATTATAATTTACCTATTAATACAAGGTTAACAATAATGATCAAATCTCTGATTGTTAATAAATAAATCAATGCATGATACATTGGTTATTTTAAATTTTCTTTACTAATCTATAAAAAAGGGCATAATCGGGGAAGTGCATTTTTGCATGACTGATAGTTTTGGGAGTTAAAAAGCATAACTTTTAGGCTATGAGTCAAATCAACTTTTTACTATAATAAAGGAAGAATTGGGAAAAACAACGATTAAATAAAAAATTACAACTTTATTGTTGCATTAATTATCACATAACAGCTTAAAAAGCCATTAAAAAAAATACAAAATTTCAGAGCATATGAAGATCACTAGCATAATATATCTTGTTCTTATATAAGGTATGTGAAAAGATGAGTTATAAATAAAAGCGTCATTTCGCGAAATTTTTGGAATGTTTGGATGTTTGGTATAGGGTGCACCAACCAAACTTTGAATGTAATAACATTACCTCTGTTAACTTTAAAAACACTTCCTTTTATTTACAAAAAATAACTAATATTTCTCTTTGTGAGAGCTGAAAAACAAAAGTATTGCAAATTGCAAACCTAACCTTTGTTGAAAGAAAATCACTAAAAGATGAGAAACTTAATGGGTTATGATTAAAATTTTCTTTGGTCCAGACTATATTGGAAATAAAATGGTTTTGTATAAAAAAAATCTCAAAAACCAGACCAAATGAATTAATTCGAGCAAATATCTTGAATTCTTTTATGATTTGTAATTATGGACTTAATATTATATCAAAAAATGCCTGAATATATGAAAAACAATAATAAAAAGTGAAAAATTAAGTTGCAATCAATTAAGTCACACAGGTACCTGAAATTAGGAGATCTTCCAACAAATTTAACACAAATTCATTTTGAATCAAATCCTCGCCATAAAAGTGTTATAGTTATTTTGTATCAAATTTTCTTTAGGAGCTTCACCAAAGTGAAAATTATGGTTATTCCGAAGGGGTTAAATCTTTTTCAGATTCGCCCTCGCCGAGCAGCTGCAGTAAAAGTTCATGCACAGGTTCAAAAGCCTTTTTGCTTCCTGCATTGGTTAGTAAAAGGTAATCATGCATGTCATGGTGACTAATTGTACCTTAAAAGTATAAAGGAAAATGAAAAATATTTAGACAAGTTTGTCACAAACTTTACCATCTGATTGAACAAATCCTTTATCAATAGAAACTAACTCTACTTTAGCTAAGCTCTCTATGCTGGCTTTTAAGTGTTCATTAACTTTTTCAAACTTCTCTCGTAACGGGTTAGGATTCTGACCTCTGGGAAGCAAAGTCTACAAATCACCTAGTAATGAATATGACACATGCCAAAACTAACATAATCAATTTACAGGTATAACAATGTAAATATTGGGATGTCTATCCCTAATAGCGTTAATAATTTCAATGATCCCATCTCTAATCTCTTCCGGGGAATTGTTATAATTGTTTGTCCCTACATGAAGTACAATTACCTATAAAAAAAAGTGCCAAATTTACAGCATTTGCAGAATCTACTATACTACTTTAGGTTTAACGTTATCTAATGCGCCATTCATTACTCGCCACAGTACATTTTCAATTCTATCACGGTGTATTCCAAAATTTAAGCAATGTAAAGGAGCAAACAAATCATTCCAAACATCAGTGTGTTGCAATGCATGTATAATAGAGTCTCCAATGAAGATAACATCGGCATCTTTCTCTCTAGTTTCCGACAAGAATCGGTTATGCTAGAACAAATAGTTTAAAATTGTGATTGATTTGCTAGCATTACTACTTACAATACACAACCATCTATTATCACCATCTCTGTCTTCAACAGGAACTGGAACCTTACATAGATTCATTGTTGAAATCGGAAATTCAAAACAAAGATTAAAACTAATTAAGAAAAAATCTTGGGTAAATATAACTAATTTAATAATCTTCTAACCCTCACTGATTTCAGCATAGATAAAAATTTGCTGCTACTTGCCAGTATTGCAAGGATCATTCGGCCAGATTATGAGAAATATTTTCTTCTTTTATTAGTTGTGTCTCACTCCGATGGAGAAGATTGCCAGGGACTTTTGCCCAATCCTATCCACTTTTTATAAGAAAAAGAAAGCGATATAATTTTTTGTGTCACATGTATCTACCAGAAATCGAGGCAATACGACTGAGGCTAATATCTCAAGCCCTTTTCAGAGTTTGTTGAGTAATGAACAAATTTTTTTCTTTTCAATGGTGCTGCCACCCTTACGACGGAAATCAAAATAAAACTTTTATTTCCAGCGTTTGGGTAGTTCCAGTTACTTACTATCAGATGTCGCCGGGATTTTCCAACACTGCAAGTGTTGGAAAATCCCCCGTAATAAATTTTCTATGCTTTTCCTTAATCCTCTTAAAATGAGAACCACTTGAGGCAGGTGGAAGAAAGAATATATGTTTTATAAACTATATTTTAGGGATTCTGTAGTGGAGCGTTGCACGCGGCGGTTTAACCTCCGTTCGCTCCCTACAGAATCCTTTGTAATCGTCAAAAAAAATTGAAATCGGCTGGGTGCATTTAGTGTTTTCAGTGTTTAGTGAATGTTTTAATGTGATAATTGTCCCCGACCCCTTCGTTTTTCCCCGTTCACGCCGGTATGGGGGCCGGATGGGCCCGGATGGTCCGCGGCAGAAGCGCGGGGATGTCGGTTTTTTTTGGTATCGGACAAAATTTTTTTTTGCTAGTTGAGCAAATATTGGTTATATTTCTTCTTTGTACGTGTTTGTCCATGACCAACCAAAAGCGAAGATCCTCGACGGAAGTCGGCAATGGGCGAATGATCCTAGCAGTCAAGCCCAAAATTTTTTGTGAAACGCATCATTGAATTGAATTAAAACTATATTTTATTTTCTCTTATTTCGCAGTTTTGATGCAGATGAGGAAAACGTTCCAACACTGCAAAACACAATTTTAATCTTCATACAGAAGAAAAGCTGTGGATCAACTATGAAATTTATAAAATTTGAGAAAGAGTGCAAAATATTTTATTTTTTTGCTGACTCGTTAATTTAAGTATATGCTGATAAGTATCAGCAGTTGGGATTACTTTCAACATAGAAAAAATTCATAGAAATAAATATTTGACAACGCTTGTTAACGATCGACTTTTCTACGCAAAAAAAAAACGAATCATCAGTCGTTTTAAATTATTCATTACTAACGTAGCGCGCAACTTTGTAATTTGTTTGACCCTCGTGAAAATAATCGATGATTCAATGAAAAGTCAAAACGACGAGCTACCAACTAAATTATTAAGTTTCCTCAGTTTAAATAGATTAAATAATGAATAACCGACTTGGTAGTTAAGTACCCATAAGTACCTTAAATATAGAATTAATTCTGAATAACAAAAAATCCAGATTGTATTTTATATTTGTAACGATCATATAAAAATAAAAAAATAATAATACTGTTAATTGAAGTCATGAGTACAACAGTACAACTAAATCTTGGTATGTTTGCGATAAAGTCTATTAAGGTAGTTATAACGACTTTTCCCGAAATTCTTATTAAATCGCTGGAGAAATTAGTTAATATTTTAGCGAAAAATCGTTAAATATCGTCGTTTATCTGAACATCTGGAAAATTTCCGCTGAGAAACATTCCACCGTGAGAACTGAATTATTTAATACGTACACCAGATAAGCAACATACAACGATGTAGTTACAGCGGACTTACAAAATAATTCCCCTTTGACATGCCATAAAATGGTTATCTGTTTCGTTGGGTTTTGGTTTTCTGGACACTATTAAATATAGCAACTACCAATACGCTGAATTTCAAAGGTAAAAAAAATCCTAACCTAAAAATTCTTTCACGCGGATGGAATAATTCCGTCTGCGAAAAATCAATTTCTTCCACGTTTTGTGGGACATTACTCTACTACAACTAGGTACCAGACGCTGGATTTCAATATTAAAAAAAAACTTAGACAAACCCTAAAATTCATTATACAAGCAGATAGGCCTGTCCTACCTAGTTACTAACCACAACTATCTACGAGACGCTGAATTTCGATATTTAAAAAATAATCCTGAACATAAAATTTTATCCACTTTTCGTAGTTTTCACCTATTATTTTTCAGTCGAATATTTTATATTTTATTTGTTACAACTTCGTTATTACTTAATAAATATACTTAGGAAACCTTTAACTACTTTTTTTTCCACATTTTTCTTAAAACCTTTTATGTTGTGTGTATGCTAAATAATAAGTAAACTGTTGTGACATCTCACGCCCTTTCTAACCTACAGCTTGTGAAACCCATGCATTACCCAAAAGAGTGGGGATAAGAGTGGCGTTTCATTCATATTTACTATAGCGCTGTATACTATATGTAGGGAATTTTATGAATGCCTTGTCTTGCCTGGTTTGCGGATCTGCTCTACCAATTGGTTAGTTAGTTGTTAATTATTTCGATCTTGGACCTCACGATCTACTAAAGCAAACAGTCACTGCAATCATAATTATTATATGCATCGGGCGGATAAAAGGCAGTGCTTACACTGGAAAGGCGATTCAATAGCGTCGCAATTGTAGACAATCGATGCGATAGCCCGGTGGTCATCGATTAACAAATGGTCATTATACGCTGCAAAGCGTCTCTTATGGCAGCGCGTCGCCAGTGGGAGACACGCCGACTTGTGTACCCGACCCGACCGACCAAAATGTTCACCAATAAACTTTAGTCTTGCCAATCCAGGCGGGTGGCTCAGAACGAAAGTCATTTTCGCGCGTTCACACAGCCAACCGCGATATCGTATGCTAAGCGGGGTTATCATGGAAAAGCCAGACTTCGCGTAGTTGTTTGCAAATTATAAGGATATGTTTTCTACGTTCTTTTTTAATACTAAACCGACGGCTTAATGATCGAAGGCTTCATATCGTAACTTCGGATGAGGAAAAACATTCTAAGAGTCAAAGTAAGTAATAAGACAAACGTCATGCATTCTGACAATTACTGTATGAAATTTGGTTTACGTTTTGTCCATCCAGCATCTTCCAAAATTAGAATCTAGAAGATGTCATTTTCCTTTCAGACAGGGCCTACCGACCAGGACCGACTTATTGTTGACATCCCTCGTATTTTTTAAGTAATATAAAATTCATGGGTAAAACATTTGCTTAGTGCAACAGTCTTGTGTCAGGTCCTCAACACATCCTAACAATTATAACACAGTTGGGAAGCACTGTGTTATTATATATACGGCAGTCAATTCTCGTCTGGTAGTCTCCGACATAGGTATCCAGCGAAAACTGTCAATTATTTATTTACTAGACAGTATTTTTTTGGTTTGGTAGTTTTTGCACTTGTTTTGAACGTAACAACTGGTTTAGACTCATATTGTTCAAAGAAATGCGCGGATGCTTATTGAAAAGCTTTTCTATTAACGAAATGTGAGGAATGTCTCAGAATAAAATGTAACCTCCGGTTGACTTCTTAATTCGACCATTAAATAAACCACGCAAATTGGATTTGATATGAGTTTTGGCTTCGTTCGGGTATTTATTTAAATGCGCAACATGTAAAGTGGAGATTTAGTTAAAATTAATTTAATAAATATCTACCTACGTTGGAAAATGTTGATCATAGTGGTGAATATTTCAAAAATCACAAATTCAAAAAAATGATAGGATTAACGCAAACGTCATTAGCAAAATTATCGTGTGGTGGGTACCAAACATCTTTTCCGCTTGTACTTTGCCCTTGCGCATGAGTGGGGGGTGATGAGAACCTTTACATATTTTCCATTTGCCTTTAAACGGTCGTCTTCCACCAAGCAGGTAGGAGCGATTTTAATAGAATTGAACAAAATTTGAACCTAAGTTTTCATATCATAAATGCCATGATGCACATGTAACTCCGTTTTAGAGCACAGGAGTTAGTTCCATCTTGTAGAGTAATTTTAAACCAAAGACATTTAGTTTAATGATAATAAAGTGATATAAACAATTTCTTTAAACAACCTGGCAAACTTTTACTGTACTTAAATTGTAATTTTTCCTTCAAATTATTGGGACATATATATCACGATTCATTGGTACACATCCATCAATTATATATCAAAAACTACGTAATAAATAGTTCTGCGAACTTTCCTGACAAAATCTCGGAATTATGCTAGTTGCCATTGGAACGGGAAATCGCAAATCCAATATACTAAAAAGTCGTTACTCCAACTGTAATTATTCAATAAGAAAACATCTTAGAAAATAGACCACATTTAACTTGGTTCGTCCTAATTTGTAGCCTCTTCTTCCCTTTTTTCGGTGTCTTCAATCTTGCCTGCCTTTGCTTTCTGGCCCTTCGTGTCACTGTCGGTTTCTTCGGCCTTTATCGCGTTTTCCACAAGCGCCAAATTGCAAACGTAAACGACCACCGTACAACCGACACACATTAAAATGACTGCCAGAGGATGCAAACGGTCCATCGCAAAAATTTTGACGTACGAGCCGGAAACGTCAAACGTGAATTGAATGACATGAAGCTAAGCGAATTCCGGTTTTAGGATGGCAATGCCAACGTTGCCGCTAAGCTGCTCACCCAAAGTGAACCAAGTGCTCGAGTGCCCTTTAGTGGACGCGGTGGCCACCAACTTATTAGCGCCCGTCAAGACGGAGCAGCAAATTTTGGAAAATTCGATGCTCGAAGATGACCCGAACTCGAACTGCGTCATTGTGGAACCGGCGCAGCAGAACGCATCGGGGCCAAGGTGGGGACCTCAACATAAAGGGGCTCAAGAATTGGCGAATTTATATAGTAGAGGTTAGTACATGTTTACCTCGTAACGAAATATCTTTAGAATGAAACCAAAAATAAGTTCTATGGAAACCCTTCAAAATTACGTCTTAATATAGTTTGTCTATTATTCTTCTCCTAAAATTAAGTGAACACAAAAAATATAAGGAAAATCATATTTTGTCCCATTTATGGTACTTTTTAGTCGTGTTGTTTGTTTGTGCTTTTTTAATAAACATTACCAACATACATAACTATATTAAAAAATTAACAGGTTGAGAACAAAATTAAAACTAGTTTTACCAAAAAACCGATACGATATAAAAAAAACAAAAATAAGTACGTCTGGGCTTCTAGTGGGATACAAGTATCTGGAAGCCTTCTGGATATAGGATTGTGAGATTACAGATGATGTACCTATGGTTGGAAGAAATTGATAGAGAACTCAACAAGAACCTATAGAAATCTGGAATGAGATGTTAAACTAACAAAAACTTAAAACTAAAAAGGAAAATACAGAAATTATGACCACGTCCGCAGTAAATGCAACGTTTAACATCGAATTAAACCCAAAACAAATATAGCAAGTTCTTATTATTATTATTATTAATAGGTGTAGGATGTGTTTAATCTAGAGCGTGCGTGAAAGCTTTTTTACGCTTTAAAACCTAATCATCTAAAAACTTGATACAAAAGACAAAAGGTAAGATTCAGAGCATTAATGTGAAGTACCTACAAGGGCTCGAGTATCACAAAAAAAGATGATCCGAAATTTATTGCACTGTTATTTATTACAATAATAATAAATAATATACAGAGTGTATAAAAATATTTCAAAACGTATTTAAATTTGAATTAGTTGATGGTCTATTTACCATAAAGTTTGCCAGCGTATCGGGTGGCACATGATGTACTTGTCGCCCTACATTTTTCTACAGGAATGCACGCACCCCAATTTATTATTATTGATTTCGACTTTAAAATTGTTATTATTAATCCCCAATTCTCTTATGATATACGAAATTTAAGTAAAATTCTCATTAAAATGATGTATGACATGTTCCTTTCAAAGATAGCCGCCAAATGATAGTTTTTTTGATAAATCTTATTTGGAAATCCGAACAGTTGCCGCTTTCCTCCCATTTTTATATTATTTGATAACTGGTGGAGCTATTTTAGCTTTTTGTTGCGTTTCCAGAAGTAAATCACTTTTTTCGTAGTTTTTCTAAAATATTTCGGTTTCTATAAAGACGTTTTGTATTATTTAGTTGGTATTTGTCATGTCATTTAGCGGGCCTTTTTCACGTAGGTATCGTATTTCGTTAGGTATACAAAGGAGTTACAGAGTACTTAACTAGCAAATCAATACTTTTCGACAAAAGTTTTCTAGTTATCAAAGATAATAATTGTCAACCTAGAAATTAACTCACCGAAAAAAAAAAGATTTTTATATTTTATAACTTTTTATTTTTGACCTTATTACGATGATTTTTTCGCTGGTCAGTTCTTTAAGATGGCGATGCAGTTCCTTCTGATGAAATTTTGTTTGCTTCACTGTTCATATACCAAAGTAAGTCAAAATGCTGTTTTTAGTCTTCAGTTTAAAGAAGCCTGTGGAAAAAGTACGCCAAAGGACCTTGTTCCAACATATTTTGCAATAAAACCGGATTTGTTCCTAGCAGTTTGTTTTTACTTCAAACATTTAAAGTTGTCATTAGAACACTAAAAATTTAGACGAAAGTTAATGGGTGTGTCCACCACTAATTATAAACCTCTAGCAGCAAAGACAGCTTGCATTCTTCTTGAACTTCTTCTGGCTCCATATTTTTCATTTAATATTAACCTGAGCTGTGCTAAAGTTATAGGATTGCTTTTTACAAAACTTCTGGATTCTTCCTGCGTTTTTTTTTTACTTAGTCGAAATTGCTGACGTTTGGCCAATCATCCAGTTTCAGTCAAGCTCTGAAGAAGCCAACAGGATGATTGGCGAAACGTCAGCAATTTCGACTAAGCAAAAGCCGACGCAGGAGGAATCCAGAAGTTTTGTAAAAACATTACAGTAGCCTGTGGAAGTTTCTTTGAAAAGTTATAGGATTGTTGGGACGGCAGCGAAAGCATTTCAACTCATTTAGGACATGCGCAACATGCGGTCTGGCATTGTTTTTCATGAGTATAAACTCTTCTCCAATGAAACGGACAAATGGAATGACCCCTTCCCCTAGTATCTGTTAATATATCTGGGGGAATTTATGGTTCCATTTTTCACAAACATTACGTTTTTCTCTACAAATTCCTGCCCAAATAATCACAGATCCACCACGTCTTCAATGGTTAACACCATTTTAATTAAGATTTTAGTATTGACAACGCCACTATTAAAAGAAATTATGTGCTGTTTTTTTTGTTTTTGTTGCTGTTGTTATGTCGATAATTGGCTTTTATGTACTCTTTCCCTTAATTATTCCTCAGCAGTTGAAAAAAGTAGGGGAGCTTGTGTCACCCGGTACACATTGCATAAGCCGATAACAGAAAATGCAGCCCGACGGATTTTGCAGACTTAAAAGGCCCTTGAAAATGTCGTTCCGATCATAATCTCTCGATGAGTTTACAAAAATTTCTTGGTTTCGTGTCGCGGATCATTAAGCATGGTGGTCGAGTTACGTAAAAAAGAATCTATTTTATGGTATTCGGATTAAAAGTGAATTTTATTTGATACAAAGTATAGCGACATTATTTATTATTGATGCTTTTCGTTATTGAGGATAGGATTTGAAAGTGTGAACAACAGGGCCAAGCGAGCAGTAGGGGATTATGATACACAAACCTTGAAACCTATACTTGCTTCTATTTAAAAAAAAACTCGCATTTAACGTATTTCTCGCAAATCTTTAACCAAATTTTATACAAAACGGTTCTAATTTTCAGTGCTCTAGTCAGATAAAAAAAAACAGAAATAGGAAAGGTTGCCCGCATAATCTGTAAGTCTGCTTATACTTTGAAAACGATTTTTAAAAAAGCCTTTAAATTAAAAAACAACTTACGAAGAATTGAGATTGCAGTTTTTGATGCTTTATATAATAAAGAAATCTTAAGATCGATTAAGAAATGCGCATTTTATATTGGTGGGCCAAACTTTTGTATTTTCGACAGTCCTCTTAACAAATAAAATCTCTATTAGAAAAAAACCTCTTCTAAACCCTCAAAGTCGTTGGAGGTGAAAATAATCGGACTTAATAAATTTAACGATTTGAACGTATATAAATTGTTTACCGCTCAGCCCAATTAGCTATTAAGTACATCGGAGTTAGCACTGAAGTCCATTTCATAAAAAAAATTATTATTTTTGTAATTAATTAAAATAAACTGCTTTTTTACTGCTATTAAAATTCGCTCGAAAATATGGCGGCAAATCATTGCCTGCAAAATTTTACGTTAAGTTTATAAATTCAAGATGATTTTCTTTACATTTATGGACCTACCAAACACTAAAAATGGATACAATCCATTATCGGTAATTACTTTAATATTGTGTATTTTCAGAGTAAAAAGCCCATGATCATAATCATAGAGATGGGCAAATAAAAACTTATATGGAAGTAAGAATAATATGAAAATAGATAAACTGTAATTGAAATTATTTTTTAAAACAATATCTATTTACAATTCAGCTTCATTTGAAAATTTTAGTCACTATGTTCCGGGGACTCAGTTGAATTATAGTTGTTTTAATCCAGAGAAATAATAAGGGGCTGTACAGTATTTTTTAGCATGTTAAAAGCCTCCGGCTGCTGTCAAATATCCTGGTCTCCAGCACATAATTTCGTCTTTATCGCAGTTTGCCAAGAACTACCACAAAAAAAAATTATAATTCCCATTTTAGACACTAAGGTACAGGTAGGTCCAAGTGTGGTCATTAACATACAATGCAACAAGATTAAAGTTTCGGAATTTAAATTCAGGTAAAATTGTGGTCCGTAATAGAAAATAATTTTATAACTACCTGTTTTTAATATTCTTTGGTTTGGTATACCACTTAGTTTAAGTTTATTAGTGATCATTCTTATTTCGTGTGTAATACAGCGTGTGTTGAATCGTGTGCGAATTATGCAAAATATGTGCGAGTCTAGTGTATCTCAGGAGTTGCTCCCGCCCAAATGTGGAAAACACTATTCTATTGAGACTAAGGAAGTTATAAACAATGTTTATTTGACTCTCATTGAATGTGGTGCCAGCAAACCATCTTTAGAAGAAACGGCCACATTGACGGAAATTCCAACATCAACTGTATGGAAAATTGTGAATAATCCCATTTCAGCGAGGAAAAAAAAAAGCGATGCTGACATTTTCTCAAGTGTAGATGAAAGTGATCAAGATATAATACGGCGTAAAATTTACCAGTTATACGAAGAACAAAGCGTGCCTACATTAGATATCTTAATTAGGAGGCTTGAAAAAGATGAAACCGGTGTCAAATGTGGCAGAACTACCTTATGGAAATGTATTCAACACATGGGTTTTAGATTTAAAAAAAATGATAAAAGGTAAGTTTTAATGGAATCTTTTAGAATTCGGAAATGGCGACTGGAATATCTAGAAAAAATTAGGATTTACAGAGAACAACACAGGCCAATTATCTACTTGGATAAAACCTGGTTCAACACTTATGATACCCCGGAAAGGGTTGGGTTGACTCAACTGATAAGTGTAAAACAAACGCGCCATCAAAAAGGGGTAAAAGAATAACTATTTGCTGGCTATAAAGATGGTTGGATTCCAAATGGACTTTCTCTGTCTGCAAAAAATATTAAAGATTCTTCGCTGGATTACCATGAAGACACCACCGATTTATTTGAAAATTGGTTTAAAAACAAACTAGTTCCAAACATTCCTCCTAATAGCGTCATTGTAATGAACAATGCAAGTTATCACAGTAGACAGTTGACTAAAATGCCTTCCTCATATGACACACAAGCAACAATCCAAAACTACATGTATAATAACGACATTTATTTTCACGAATATTATAC